ATACAAGGATGGAAAGTGGTTTCCTTGAGGAGGTAACATTTGAACTGAGACCTGAAGGAGAAGGAGCCAGTCATGAAAGGATTGGGGGAAAGTTTTCTAGACAGAGGAAACTATTGCTATAAGGACCTTGAGTTGAGAACAAAGTTCTCATGAAATTAGTATAGGAATTAAATCAGAAATCAGATCACATATACAAAATGTTTTGCAAAATAGAAAACTACTTAAAAGTATAAAGTATTGTTTTTAGGGGCGCCTGGGTGGCTCAGTCTGTTAAGTGTCTGACTCTTGATTTCAGCTCAGGTCATGATCTTATGGGTCATGGGTCCTGCCTAGCATCAGTCTCTGCACTCAGTGGGGAGTCTGCTTGAGGATTCTCTCTCTCTGTGTCCCTTCCTACCACATGCTTGTGTTCTCTCTCTCTCTCTCTCAAATAAATAAATAAAGCCTTTTTTTTTAAGGTATAAAGTATTTATTTTTAGTAATATATTGGACTAGTTCTGGGTAAAGATTGCAATAATGAAGGGTCTCAGGTCTGTGTCATATGAAGAATTAATCAAGCAGTTCAAGGCTATATTGCCTAAAGAACAGGAGACACAAGTATGTGTTTAGGGGAAGAACGGAGAAGTCTTCTTCAAACATCTGAGGACTACAATCTTGTGGAAGAAGATTTAATTTTATTTTTTTAAAGTAGCTCCAAGGGTATGCAATGAACCTGATATGGTAAACACTTTAGGAAGACAGAATGTTGGCTCAAAATGATGATGAACATTCAAAGAGAATTGCAGGCAAATGGACTGACAGGGAAGTAGTGAGTTCTACATGACCAGAAGTGTTCAAGGTTGGGCTGAACAGACATTTGGCAGAGGAATGATTTGATTGGTTGCCCTATAAGGACCTCTGCAACCCTTTGAAAGTACACAGGCTCACTCACTCACAGTGCTCCCCACATGTGCACTGCAACACCCAAGGCAGCCTCCTTAGTCCATGCTATACAACCTTTAGGAGGTTTTGAGAAAAACCTGAGAGATAAAGAGGATTCTACCATGTTGCTAATTCACACTGACCCTGGGATCAAGTATGTCTCCATCTCTGTAATAAGCAATGTATATTTCAAAAAGGGAAACTAAGAAACAGGATAGGGGGCACCTGTGTGGCTCAGTGGGTTAAAGCCTCTGCCTTCAGCTCAGGTTATGATCCCAGGGTCCTGGGATTGAGCCCCACATCGGGCTCTCTGCTCAGCGTGGAGCCTGCTTCCTCCCCTCTCTCTCTCTGTCTGCCTCTCTGCCTACTTGTGATCTCTATCTGTCAAATAAATAAATAAAATCTTTAAGGAAAAAAAAAAGAAGAGAAAGAAATAGGATAGACTAACATTCGTTTTTGAAATCTATGGCTAAGATTTAGTGGTGTTTTAGCAGTAAACATTAAACCACTATCTCAACTTATTAAAATAATTACTTTAACAAAAATGTATCTGAATTCCATTAGCTCCCAATATGTGGCATGCCAATGAACAGCCAAAACTGTTAGTAAACAGTTAGTAAACTGTTAGTATGTGGCCTTTGGTTGGTCTGGTTTTTAATGGGAGCCATGGGTCCAGGAAGATGATTTCCACAATAAAGGTCCTGACAGACAACCAACCACTACTCTATTATTTAGGTACTTGGACCAATAAATAAAGTAAAAAAAAAAAAAAAAAAAAAAAAAATACTGAATTGTCACTTGACCACCTGGGACCAAAAGCTAAAGATAAACAAATCTAGCCTTCCAAGGACAGAGAGCCCAAGCCAGACCCAGGATTAAGACTAGAAATAACTTTGAAAAGCTAAACATTACTATGACCTTTACATGAAATATTTATATTTCCACATCCAGATGTATATGGTTCATATTCAAATAGACTGCAGAAAACATTCTCTTAATACCTACAATTTTTGTGCACATTTTTGTTTATCGTATTAAGTAGGTTTCTTAAAAACTACTTGTAAATAAAATTATATCATGACTTTCTTAGGACAACTTATAAAAAGAAACTTAAAATGAATCTTTCTGTAAAATAAAGACAATGTCTATATAATTGTCCCCAAAAAAACTATACTTAATTTTATGAAATTCAGGAACATCAAAAACGGGATTTACAAAAAATTAAAATCAAAGGTTCAATACTTAATATAAAGAAAGAATTTATCATAGAATTTTTTGTGAGTAAGAATCTCTTCTTAGGGCTATAAAATTTCTATTTATGTCTCTAGTATTTTAGAAATACACCTATTTCCTAGAAGGTAAATATAACCTATAATGTAAACAATCACTTCATAACTTATTTTTAAGTTCACACGTATTTGATTTTGCTATTTTATTTTTAGAGATTTATTATTTACATGGGGGGAGGGGCAGAGGAAGAGACGGAGAGAGAATCTCAAGCAGACTCCCCACTGAACACGGAGCCAGACAGACACAGAGCTCACATCCAGCACCCTGAGATGATGACCTGAGCCAAAATCAAAAATCAGACGCTTAATTGACTGAGCCACCCAAGGGCCTCTGATTTTGCTCTTTTTTTAAGCTTAAATCCTTCAGAACTCAGGGTGACAAAAGGACTAGATTAGTGGCTCAGGAAACCCAGGTATCTCTGTTCATAAGCAGGTGCCACTTAATATCATCTGAGTTGCCTAGAAACGAACCCCTTGAATGAGCAGGGGGTTTTAATTCTTCAGATATATCATTACAAGTCCCCCAAAACATTTCTAACTATATTCTCACTTGACAAATGCACAGAAAAGCTTAGAGCTGGTAAAAAAGACCAAGTCTTCTGTCCCAGATGCCAGTGTGTTAGCTAAGACCTTTCTTTGCAGTCTCCCTTCAGCTTGAGTGGTGCCAAAGTTTTATATCAACCACTAAAACAATGGCATCATTTTTCCTTTCTCCCTTCCTTCCTTCCTTCGTTCGTTCCTTCCTTCCTCTTCCCTCTGTCCCTCCCTCCCTCCTTCCTTCCCTCCCTTCCTTCATTTAACACAGGACTCTATCTCACCACTGTGAGATCAAGACTTGAGTCATGTTCAAGACCTGAACCAAGATCAAGAGCCAGACACTCAACCAACTGAGCCTCTCAGGTGTCCCAAGAATGGCTTCTTTAGAATAATGTTAGCAACATAGTTGGTAAATATCTTTCCTTTCTAAAAAGACCTGACACCTCTTGACACTTGTTTCCTTTTCTTTTCAGGTGACAAGAAATTAGGGGTAATTCTGAATTTTCCAAACATTCTCATCCTTAACTTAATCTCTTTGTTGTCTTCTTTTGCAAGAGCATATAGTCTACCTCTTGGATTAATGTACAAAGATGTGACTTGTTCCCCCAAATGCACATTCTACAGGTGGGAAGCATGGTACAATGGAATGATTCGGCGAGAAGGCACCATAAAACCAAGAGCATGCAACAGAGTTGCAACTCCATACTGCTGGCAAATCGGAAGTAATTTTCTACCTAGATCAGAGCTTAATTCATTAGCCCACATTAATTCACAAGTTCAATCCAATTTCTCAAAATGCAATAACACAATCTTCCAGCCTAATTATCTTCATCGACAGTATTTAAAAGCATTTGCTGAGACACATTTCTTTCTTGTGTCAGACAGGATCAACGTCAAGTGAACAGCTTGGGTGGACTACATTCTGTCTAATTGCAAAGGGCTGATATTTTAAGAAACAATGGTTTCTTGCAAGGGAGAACTTTTCCCCTGAGGAGACAACAAAGTGTCCCTCCCAATAAGTAAAGGTTTAAATGTATCTATTTACAATTGTTTTCAGATTCTCAAGAACATCCGTTGTGTGTGTGTGTGTGTGTGTGTGTGTGTGTACTTTTTGACATTCTCTAGAATTGGAAATATCACAATATGGATGGCTTTTACAGTAATTTTAACCACTAAGAGAAGTTTAGGGATCAGAGAAAGAACTTTTAAAAACAGAGCAAAAAGAGATCATTCATAATGAAAATACCAACCCATCTCATGATGGGTATTTCCCTAGAAATAATCATGAGAAAAGAATTGGTTTGTTTTGAAGCCATTTATTTCAACAGCTCATTTACTAAAACCCCCTGAATTTTAATCCAAAAACAGTCCATTTCCGTTTCCTTTTGATAACTGAAAGGGAAATCAACCCACATTTTTAATAGGATTTTATTTACTTATTTGACAGAGAGAAACACAGCGAAACAGGGAACACAGCACAGGGAGTGAGGGAGAAGGGAGAAGCAAGATCACCACTGAGCAGGAAGCCCAATGCAGGGCTCGATCCCAGGACCCTGAGTTCATGACCTGAGCCAAAGGCATGCTTAACGAATGAGCCATCCAGACACCCCTCAACCCACACTTTTTAAAAAAATTATTTTTTTAAGATCCTTTTGGGGGGTAATATCTTTTAAAAGCATTTTTGAGTGAACTCACAAGCAAAATTTAGTAAAAGGACAAAAAATATTTCTTATTCCTCGACTCACGTTTAACTTTTATTTATTGCCTGTCTTCTAAAAGTCATTGCTGCCATTACACCTTTGCTTTGTGAGGTAGCCAGGTTTTTCCTAACACTGTTCACTAAGCTCAGTTTAATTCATGCCCTGGGCCAATAACAAATCTACTTTTCCAGATGCAACACTTTAATATCTTAAATTTTGAAAGTAAAAGGCATCCTTTACTCCTTTGAAAACCAGTTCTAGCAGTGTTAAAGAAAAGGAAACGAAACACAGAAAGCGCTTCAAATAGGCAGCATTGAAATTCATGTATTGGATGTAAACATTGTGATATACAATGAAGGAAAAGGCCCAAATCTCACCGTTTAGGCAATGGGACTACAGATATATTTTTAAAAAGATGGAGAGTCAATTAAGAAGCATATTATTTTGTTTTAAATCTGCTGTGGCATTTATGAGCAAGAAGAGATGGCACTGCTGTTTGGCATTCATCAATCAAAAACCACACAGAAGTCACGTTCCAACTCAAAGAACTTACCTTATAAACTTGTCCATAGGTTCCATTTCCAACAAGTTCCACTAATTCAAAGATCCCTGCGGGGTCCTAAAAGAAAACAAACAAACAAAATTTTAAAACAATATTCCAAACATTCTCTTAAGCAAAAGCAAACATTTAAAATAAGCAAATAAATAACAACTTCAGCTTTGGGAGCGGTCATGTGTTAATATTACTTGCTATTAAAATTTAAGTCAGCTGCAGCTATGAAACTCGTCAAAATCCACTTTGTTTTCATTTTACACTTCTATGAGATATGTTTAAAGCAGACAAAAGGAGACAGGACTTCCACCAAAACAGTAAAAAAGAATGAACACATTTCTCACTACCAAACGGAAATACACTTGCAGGTACATCCGGATAAAATGAAAGACCCATCATCCTGGGAGGGGATTCTAATTTTTGAGATCTTTCCCTTTGAAGTTTCTGGGCTGTCCATTCTGTTGAACGCAGTTAAGAAAGGGGTGTTTCTGTATTGTGGGGGAATCGTGTAAGATAGTGAACGGTTCCCAAAAGCCCATGCAATCAACACGGCTGCCTCCCCCGAATGTCTTCCTTTGGCTTCACCTCCCCTCTCTACAACACCGATCCCTGCAACATATGTTTTGTGCCTAGTCTCCGGATCTTGTACTGCCCACAGGAAGAGTCCCTGCAGGATTTTGAATACCAACTGAATCGGAGATTCATGCACATCGTGACCACCAAACGGGAGGTCCCTCTAACCCTCAGAGTCAGCTAACTGTTAGGGTGCTCAATAAATGTCCAATAATTGCTGCTATTTATTACTGAATTATTATCTCCCTGAATTGGAAAAAGTACAAAGCCTGTAAAATTCAAGTCAGAAGCATACACTTAATCTGACCTCTACTGCTACCTCACTGGACAGAAATTGTTTCTTTAAGGGCCTAAACGAGGAATCACAAACTTAAATGTACACAGAGGTGAATCAAGTAACACAAAGAATGAAGGGGGCAGCTGGGGTCTTCAGCAACCTGGAGAAGCCACGTCTCCCTGGGGCGGGGGGGGGGGGGGGGGGAGGGGAGGAGGCAGGGGTTGGTCACATTGGTCACACAGCTGGACCCAGTTGAGATTATGTCCACCTATGAGCACTATATTGCCTGGTCTAAAGTTTTTCATTTTGTTTTGTTTCCAAGATGTCCTAATTTTTAAATGTTAGGCACTAACTCGCTTAAAAAAAAAAAAAATGCTGAGGGAGGGACAAGTAAGAAAGACCAAAAAAGAGTCAACGCTTTTATGAGAGCACTGCCATATATCGTTAGGGTGACTGAGAGGCAGGGGAGGGAAAGCCTAGGCCTTGGATGCAGACAGACCTGGGTCGAACACCAGCTTTCCCTTGACCGGATGCATGACTGTAGCACATGGTGACAGAGCAGCTCAGTCTCTGGGCAGATAAGATGGGAGATGACCCCTGCCTTGCAGAGCTCTGATGAAGAGGGAGGAAGGGCTTAGCACCACACCCCACACACAGCTGGCAATCTGTTCGTGTCTCATAGCAGTCATTTTTAAGCCGAAGAACAGCACCCCACTAGTAGCATTTAAAGGGTGAATGGCCGCTTCAGGGCTACTATTCGTGGGGAATGAGCCAAATAGGTTCCACGTGACAAGTGGGAGTTCTTTCAAGTTACAGTCTTCAGGTGCGCCTGGGTGGCTCAGTCGGTTAAGCAACTAACTCCTGATTTCTCCTCAGGTCATGATCCCGAAGTTCTGGAATCAAAACCTCTGTTGGGCTCCCTGCTTAGCAGGGAGTCTGCTTGCCGTTCTCTCTTTCCTTCTCTCTCTGCCCCTCCCCCCACTTGCTATCTCCCTCTCTCTCTCTCCCCCTCCCTCAAATGAATAAATAAATCTTGTAAATAAATTAAGTTATGGTTTTTATCAAACCAGGCCCAAGACAAGCCCTTGCTGTGTGCCTTCGAAGATTCCACACAGAAAATAAAATAAAATAAAATAATAAAATAAAAACCTAACAGTTGAAGCACTTTACCCCTGAGAAAGAATTGTCATCTGTATAATCCCTTGTTCTAACGCCATGAGAGCCAAAAACCCCATTCCAGACTCGACTCGGACTTCATAGCCTGAGAAGTCCAGAAGTTCCAGCCACACTGCACCAGGTCAGGGGGTGTGAACAGCGTTCCCAATGGAACCGTGTGACAGGAACCACGGTAAGGGCCCAGAGCTCTGGCGACAGAGACCCCGTAGCGGAAAGACCACCTGGGAGGCCTCAAGATGGGCAGGAAAATGATGTGTGTGAAACTGCTAGGCTGTCAGAGCAGCAGGTTCTATTACAAACAGAATTAGAAAGAAATGAGGGAACCGGAAAAAAAAAGCCCACAAATGGTGGCAGCTGCTGTTTGTTTCTAAGCTGTGCTCCCAGTAGTTTGTTTGCTCAGTGGTGTTTCTGCAACAAATTTTGAGAGAGGTTCTACATTTGCTCGAAATATCTCAATTGTATTTTCAACATTCGTTTTTATTTTTTTTTTTCTTGACTAAAAAACAAAATTTGAACGAAAGAAAGAAGCAGGACGGTGACTACCACCTGCTCCAAGGAGCCTAGAAAGCATGGGGGGGGGTGGAAGGGGAGCACAGGAGCAGAAACCAGAAACGGAGCTGGGACCAGCTTCTATGCCCAGGGGCCACCCTACCACATGGACCCATCCTCGGGGCTGAGGTTTAATAGGCTGATCTCAGGTAGAACTAGACTACTGACTTCTAGCTCTTTCCTTTCCTTGAACAGTCCACTAATGGGCCTATGGCTCAGCCCATTAGTGGACTGATGGCTCAGAACCAAGGAAGTGCAATGCTGAGACTTTTGTTCCTACTTCTGGGAGATGGGGTTCAAAAGCAAAGGTCAGAGTAACCACAGTTGGATTGGCGACCCACCTTGGGTAGGCAACCAAACTGGAAACAATCATCAAATGAGGGTGGTTCTCCAGGAAATGGGACTCAGAATTGCAGAGACTTACAGAGGGAGTTTATGGGGGCGTGCCTCAGAAGCAAGACCAGTTGGGAATGAAGGAAGAAGGACCAGACTGAGGAAAAGGAATGAGTTCAGCTGTTATGCAGTGGAACCAAAACTTCATCTGATCCCACAGGAGCTCTAGAGCTTGGGTGAACCTCCAAAATTACCCTACCCTGAGGTATGGGGGCCTTTGCACCCACCTCCACTGACTAGTCATTGCATGCAGGCTGTCCCCTGTCCCCAGCCCAGAGGTTATGATCTTGCATGAAGTGACACTCTTCTGCTAGGGACAATCTCCAGGTGACAACAATCACTAGCTGCCTATACTCTCAGCAGGTGGACAGTGAATGCCTCAGGTGCAGAGAGGAGATCTGGGTGACGCATCACAGCAACCACTACAAGCATTGTGGCTAGAAATGAGTACCAGTTTGGAATTGGAAGAGAAACCTATAAGCATCTATCTTCTACGGAATGCTGACAGTAATAAGACAGAATGGCACAACTGGAGTCATGGTATTTGCAAGGAGAGGGCTCTCTGAGACCTCAGAAAGCAGAACGCAGAGGTATTGTTCAGGGGCACTTGAACTAAGCCCCAATCCAAAGCTTCCCTCTCCCCTACCTCCACTCCAAGTACCTGGAGAGCTGAGGTTTTTGAACACGCCCTTACACAAATGAGTCTAATTGCTAGTTAGGCTCTTGTGGAATAGTGCTACAGCTTGAACATGGTAAGCACTCACTCCTCTGTTTTCTCCAGTCTTGGAGGACACTAACATAATTTCTCCCAAGGGTCACCAATGACTCAACCTCTTCTCTATAACAGTCTCTTCTCGGTCCTGTCCTAGTTGTTCCCTTTGAGGCACTACATGGCCAAGCACCACCACTCTTGTTGAAATACGTCCCCTCCCTTGTCTTCTAGTGTACCACTCAGTCTCTCTCAGAGATTCTGTTTCTTCCCCAAAGACCTTAAAGGTAGGCTGGCCCCGAAGTTTCAACCTTGTGTGGTTCACTAAGTGCTAATGAATTCATCTCCAAGTGTCCATTATATCCACGCACTCCACTCCATTCACGCACCAGGCCTCACCTGCTCTTGCTGGGACTATTTACTTTCAATCAATTTTCCCCCCTTCACCCTGAACATTCTAAAATAGACACAACACACCATGCTTTAGGACCCTACAGAGTGACTAAAAGTCAAGGTCCTGTCATTCTTAGGCCTAGTCTTCATTCCCAGTCTCATGTTCCATCATTTCGTGCAATAAGCAACCACCTCAAACCACCCGCCATTTCCCTGACACACCACACAGGCCAGGTCTCTTTGCCTGGGTTCACGACGTCTGTCTGCCAAGATTATTCCTTCTACCATTCTCCACCAGGCAAGCCCATCCCTAAAAGCCCAGTATGCCACCAACCCTGTGAAGCTTTTCTCAAATTAGCGCCACCAACTCTCTGCCCCCACAGCATGTTGTACATAGCTCTGTGATAACCACTTCACGTAGTGCCACCCCTTCTTCCATTTCTTGCCCTCGATAAATTACAAATGCCCTGAAAAACAGGGACTGTAACATATTTATTTTAGTATTTCCCAGCACATAGCATGGTGTCCACCACATAACTTCTAGACATAATGATCCACCAAATAAGGTTGATATCCCACTCCCAACTCTCCACAACACTTGTGGAGGAAGCTGCGAAAAAATGGGATCAGAATGTTGAGCCAAAGGTCTAGCAAACTTACATCATTTCTTTTTCAATCTAGACAATCTAGACAATCCAGCCCCTACCCCCTCCATCCCCCTTACCCTGCTTCTAACTGCACAAAACCATCACATGCATTAGCTCCTATGGTATTCCCAGCTCTAAAGAATATTCACGAAGTACATGGGTATAAGCTATGCTTCAGGGGCGTTGAGAAGACAGGCTGTCGGAATGCGGCCCCGTGCAATGCAATGAGATAATGTACCTAATAATCATGTTACAAAGACAGGAAAGCTAAGAGACAAGAATCAGCTTAATTCTCTCCTTGTGTTTGTTCAGCTACTCACAAAGCCAGGATGGAAGGCATGGAAGAAGG